TCGGCGTTAGGCTCCTCAGCCTCACCTCCTGGCTTGCACGAGTGACACGGGTAGATCTTGGTGGGAGAAGGCGTTCCATCAAGTATCGAGGTCCTAAACCGTTTAGGGCTTTGTAAGTAAGCATCAAGACTTTGAAGTCGATGCGGAATCGGATGGGCAGCCAATGCAATGCGGCCAGAGTGGGGGAGATATGTTGGTATCTTCTCACTCCACTGAGTAATCTGGCCGCAGCATTCTGCACCACCTGTAGTTTCCGCAGCAGCCTCAAAGGTAGCCCCACGTAGAGCGCATTACAGTGGTCTAATCTTGAGATTACAAGCGCATGCACCAAAGTGGTGAGAGCCCCAACATCAAGGTAGGGCCGCAGCTGGGCTATCCGCCTAAGATGAAAGAAAGCGGTGCGGACCACGGACGCCACCTGGGATTCCATGGTGAGCGCCGGGTCCAGATGGATCCCCAAGCTGCGGACCCCATCCCTGGCGGACAGAGTCACCCCCCCAAAAGTGAGGGAGTTTCCCATATCATCCATTCCTGGATGCTTCCAGTAGCTGTGATGTACCCCATTTTGCTGGAACAATGGAGGGCCAGAGGACTGTACCTTGCCCACCTAGGCTTATAGAAATTATAAAATGATTCCTACGCCAATGTCTTCTGAAACATAAATGTAGGGCAAGAGAAGACAAAGGGGACTGCGATTTCTATCCAGTCTTTTCCACTTTTCACCAAAGGCATGCCCTCCAGATATTTTATAGTACAACTTCTAGGATTTGGGACTTTTAGGTGACACTGGCTGGAGCAGATGGGAGTTGAAATCCAAAATACTGTATTTGGGGAGTTCTGGGTTGAGGACGGCTGCTCTATTCCTGGACTAAGGCTTTTCAAAGTCTCACAGTGTGTCTTTTGCATCAGGATCCCCCTGCGTTCTCTCAGGACGCACACAGGAAAACACAGAACTCTCTCAGCCTGAAGCCAATTCAATCCAGGCTACCTGAAGGATCATATCTTCCCCATATGAGCCTTCTTGATGTTTAAGATCATCAGGGGAGGCCTTCCTCTTGGTCCCACTGTTGATGCGGAGAGCTGTGGCAGCTTCCAGGTTACGGAATGCTCTCCCTCAGGAGATCAGAGTAGCACCTTCCCTTTTATCCTTCCATCAACAGCTGAATACCCATCTTTTCAGGCAGGCTTTTCACCATCATCATCGAGTCCCAGAAAGCTTTTTGTCAAGTAAAGACAGTTTTTAATGTTTACTCGCTCTTCGTTATTCCATTGAAATGTAATTAGTGTATCATTTAATTTGGGTTTTTTATGTTTAACTTATTGTCCTTTTAATTCTATTCTTTTTTAATACTGTGAGCTGCCTTGGGTCCCCTTATCAGGAGGAAGGCAGCCTATAAAGAAAACCAACAATAAAACAAACAATCCAGATTTACAATGGGCAACATCCTGTTGGCACAGTTTGTTGTTGTTTAGTTGTTCAGTTGTGTCCGACTCTTCGTGACCCCATGGACAATAGCATGCCAGGCCCTCCTGTCTTCCACCGCCTCCCGGAGTTGGGTCAAATCCATGTTGGTCGCTTCAATGACACTGTCCAACCATCTCATCCTCTGTCGTCCCCTTCACCTCCTGCCTTCACACTTTCCCAACATCTGGGTCTTTTCTAGGGAGTCTTCTATTCTCATGAGATGACCAAAGTATTGGAGCCTCAGCTTCATGACAGTTACACCAGTGTAAATCGGTCTGCGCATTGCCTAATGATAGGGCCAGCCTGGCATCCCTGAACTCCAAAGGAGGATTTGAACCCACCACAGATACACTGAGGGAATCACCAACCTTAAGGAATATCTCAGGGTCTTGCTGCTCCTCCAGCCGAGCTTTGATCTTCACCACTTGTTCCTCAGCCAGCCGCATTTGCTCTTGCCTGTTGCGGTGGTTCGTCTCTAGTTCGCTAAGGAGGAGCTCTTCCTCATGGCGGATGTACCTTCTCATGGCCGCCTCCTTCTCCAGGAGCCATTGGTGAAGCTCGGCGAATTGGGTTGAGAGGTGCTGCTCCAGTCGGAGCCGTTGAGCCTTGGAAGGAGCAGTTGCAGAAGAGACGAGAAGAAGGTGGGGAGGGACAGAGGCTCAGTTTCATGGAAAACATCTATTGCACATGGACTTTTCCAAAAGTTTTATGTCTAATTGATTGTGGGGGGGAGGTGCCTAAAATATTCTTATTGATGATAGCAGACTACTAGAAAATAACAGGTTTGCTTTCAGATTCATTTCATTCTGCGCCATTGTGGCAATTTTGCTTTAAATACACTCTGTGTGAAACTTCATACATTTTTGTGTACATGCTCCTCCTGGTAAATACCTTTGTCCTATAATATATACTGCTCATGCTTGTGAAACTTCATACATTTTTGTGTACATGCTCCTCCTGGTAAATACCTTTGTCCTATAATATATACAGTTTTGCTCATGCTTTGCACTAATATACATATTTCCTGTGCACGTTTCTTCATTAAAGGAAGCAAAGGTTTTATCTGATTTTTTTTCCCAAGGCAGAATTTGATCTTAACTAGAAATGGGCATGATCCAAATGATGAACCAGAAAAAAAAAAACAAATTGGGCTGGTCCATAATTCAGTTCAGGGATCTCATTTTGCCAAAGCAAAGAAAGCACCAAACTTTTTTGTTGCCCCTGTTGCCTCCCTACGTGCTCCAGTTTAGCTGATAGATGAGCAGATGTGCAGAGACAGCAGGCCGTCTTCCCTTCCCAGAACCAGCCTGCTCTCTCTGTGCATGCACGCATCTGTTAGCTGGGCGGCAGGCGCATGTGTAGAGATTGTGGGTCCAGCTCATGTAAAAGAAGCCACTTCACTGTCTCTGATGAGGGTGGCAGTAGAGGAGGAGGAAGAGGAGTCAGCAGCATCAGGACCAAGGAGGGAGGTGATGGAGGTAGTGTGAAGGGGGGGTCCCATCCCCCCCAGCACAATCCCCCCCCCAAAAAATACAAACCAGTTCACTTGGGGGGTGATGGTTCATGGCCCATGACTGGCTGCCCATGAAGCATTATTAACCACTAGTTTTCTGCTTTGTGTCCTTCTAAGATTCTTAACCTTTAGAAACGTGTGGATTTTGGAGTGCAACGGTATCCCTCTTATTGTATACGTTCAGAGAGTGCAAATTAGGTAAGTTCATACCGAAGTGCATGACCAAAGTTGTCCTCCATCCTTATACACCATGGACAAAGTGTTCAATAATTATAATAAAGCTGAAAGATGCTGACTGCATTTTAGTGGCCAACTACCCCTAAAAGAAGGTAAAGTTTCTGCGGAGATTGGCAGCTGCTGTACAGCACATTTCCCA